CCCCCCACCACCCCCATCAGCCCCACCGCCAGCCTCATCTCCAGGTCAGCGTCCTCCCAGGCTCCGGCCATGTCCACCAGGTAGGCCAGGCCGGGGGGCAGCGACACACCCGGGGCGCACTGCTGCGGCTGCTGCTGCTCTTGCTGCCGCTGCTGCTGCTGATGCTGCTCTTGCTGCTGCTGCTGCTGATGCTGCTGCTCTTGCTGCTGCTGCTGATGCTGCTGCTGCTCTTGCACCTGCTGCTGCTGCTCCTGCTCCTGCTGCTGCTGCTCTTGCTGCTGCTGCTGCTGGTCCTGCTGCTGGTCTTGCTGCTGCATTTGCAGCTGACGTTGCTGCTGCTGCTGCTGCTGCTGCTGCTGCTGCTGCTGCTGCTGCTGCTGCTGCTGCGGCGGCGATACGCCCTGCTGCGGCCCCGGGGCGGCTGCGTCACCCAGCGTCCTCGACAGCAGCTGAGCGGCTGCGGTCGCTTCCGGCTGCTCCAGTGCCATCACAACCGCCTGCGGCCCCCCGCCGGCCTCCTGGCCAGCCGCCGCACCCTGCTCGTGAGATGCAGCCGCGGCCGCCTGCTGCAGCGGGAGGCCCGACAGCCGCAGGGCCACGGCTGCTGCAATGGATTGCAGCGCGAGCCCCGAGGTGGCACGCAGAAGCAGCAGCCGTGAGCCCACGCCCGCGGCCGGCGGCGGCTCTCGTCCCTGGCCAGCGGGCCGAGATGCCGCAGGCCGGTGCGCTGCAGCGGCTGCAACCGCTTCGGCAACTGACGACGGGAAGGGGTGGCGTGCCGCTACGGCGCGCAGCACCTCGGCGGCAGCGGCCGAGTCGCGCAACAGGGGGCTGCGCGGTACAAAGCGCGGAGCGGAAAGCGGGCAGAGCCAAATGTTGCGTAGGGCAAACCCCCGTAGCCAGGGCTTCTTGTTCATATAATCACCTTGAGATGCGGTTGACAGGCCTCACAGCTCACTAGGCTGCAAGCACCTGTTGTTGACAGGCGGCTGCCCCCCCCCTCCGCACCCACAGACTGCCCGCCGGCCCCCAGCATCCATGGGCGGCACGCGCGCCCCACCTGTACGGCACCAGCCCCAGCACAGCCTCCAGCAGGCTCTCATCGTCGGCCGTCAGCGCCTTGTGCACAGCAGCAAACGGCGCTGGCGCATTGTCGTTGCCGCTGCCGCTGCTGTCGTCATCGCACTCGCGCTCGCTGCCGCTGCTGCCTTCCCCGGCGTCCTCCCCTGCCGCAGCGCCGGTCACATCGTGGCCCCTGCTCATAGGCCGCCGCCTCCGTCTTCGCGAACGCTGCGGCCTAGGCTCCCTGCCGCCTTCCAGCTGCTGTTGTGCCGCCTGCGAGGGGTCCTGCACCACCGCCTCCTGCCGCTCGCGCTGCTGCTGCGCCCGCTGCTGGTCCTGCTGCTGCTGCTCCTGCTGCTGCTCCTGCTGCTGCTGCTGCTGCTGCTGCTGCTGCTGCTCCCGCTGCGCCCGCTGCTGTTGCTGCTGCTGCTCCTGCTGCAGCTGTTCCTCCTGCTCCTGCTCCCGCTGCTCCCACTGCAGCGGCTCCTCCTGCTCCTGCTGCTGCTGCTCGTCCTGGTCCCGCTGTTGATCGTTTTCGGAGGTGTCCTGCTGCGCCTGCTGCTCAGCCGCCGAGCCGCTGCACAGCCACGCAAACAGATCCACGGGCGACGCTCCCTGCGCCAACAGCCCTGCGGGCGGCTGCTCCACGCCCGCCTCTGCCGTGGACACGCCCATGGGTGCGCCACCTGTACGGCGCGCGTGGAGCCGCCGTCTCTGCGCAGTGGGGCCCAAGCTTGCTGACGCTGCAACAGCAGCGCTGGCCGCAACGCCTGCAGCAGCTACTGGAGGGTTGAGGGCAGGGCCTACGCCGGCGTCTGCAGCGGCAAAGTGGCGCTCGAACCGCCGCTTGTTGGCACGGGACCGCACCAGCAGGCCTGGGGTGGGAGCAAAGAGTGCGGGGGCCAGATTGTAAGGGTGTATAGGGTGTGTGTCGGTGAGTGCACACATGCCCGTGCATTCAGCATTTCGCAGCAGGAGGGACCCGCCAGCAGTAAAGCCCTGCCCCAGCGTCCAGCAGCCCACCCAGCGCATCGACGGTGTCGTCGTCCAGGCAGGTGCCCTGCTCCCTCAGCTGCACACGGGGGGGAGGGGGCGTATGGAGATAACTAAAGCGAGGCCACGCCGCCGCCGCTGGGTGTTGCATGCAATTTTCTCGAGAAGCTGCAATGCAGCACATCACTAGAGCCGCTCGGACCCACCAGCAGCCGCCTGCTTGGACGCGAGCGAGGCTGCCGCCGCGGCCGCCGCCCCAGCATCCCATCTCTCTGCCCCACCTCGTAAGGGAAGGTGTCCCAAAAGTCCGCCCACCCCAGCCCCGCGTCCTGCATGCGCAAAAACAAGCCTGACGGCTCGAAAACCGAGACGCTGGTCGCGCAGCCGTGCTTGTAGGCCTGGGCGGCGGGGGGTGAGGAGGCGGGGCAGAACGGGGGGTTTCCATGAAAGGATGACCTGGGACTCACGAGCGGGGCAAAATCCTTTGGGTAAACCGCCCGCAGGGCTGGGGAGTGGTGCGGCGCAAGACTCCTGGGCGTGACAGCCGCGTCGGCGTGCGCCGCCTGCAGCTGCCCCCTCACCATGTAGAGCCACAGCTCCAGCATCACATCATTATTGAACTGCGCCACGGCGCCTGGTCGCGACACGCCCTGCGCAATTGCATCATGAGTGACGCCACATGGGGCGGGACAACCCAGGGACGGGCATCAACACTGCGTTGCGTATTCTACACACTCTTTGTCGGCTGTCATACAGTCTCTATACAATCTTTTGACAACCAAGCAACATGCCAGCTGCACTCACGGCGCTGGCGTTGTGAAACGAGTCCTGCACGCGGCCATCGCATGCAAATCGCAACGCGTTCGGCGCGCTTGCTGCGCAGCACCCCGAAAATCGCCTTGGCTGCAGCCACCGGCTGGCGCTACACGGACGTCTTCCTCACCCTCATGTCTCTGATGAGCTTCCCCATGCCGCCGATTTTGCGCAGTGCTTGCAACACCTGGCCACGCAGCCTTTTGGCGCCAAGGTAGGCCTCTTGTATCGAGGAAAAGAGTGATGAGGCGCAGTGTTTGGATAATAGAGAGCACGAGCCCTGCTCACCGGTTCGATCCAAGATCACACACGATATACTGTATGGCAGCAGCCAAGCACTTGTTGTTACAGCGTATATCTGGAAGTACAACTGTCGTAAAGTTGCAATCCGCGACTCTCTTCTTCCTCCCAGTCGCGCGTCGTCCCGTGTTCTGTCAGTAACCAGCCCGAAAGGACAGCCCCCTCCCGCAGCTACGGTATACCCCATTGGATTGCGTTGACATGACGGCAACAGCTGGTCAGCCGTTGAAGCGGCTGCGTGGCCTCCAGGCAGCGGCGCACGAGAGGCGGTCGGCGGCATTGGCTGCGGCGATCCATGAAGGCCTCCTGCAAGAGGACGTGCTCGACTTTACGCCCACTGCCATACTTATGGACGTCGACCTGGTGCGTCCCCTCATGCAAGTCCTTGGCTCCAAGCCAAGGCGTGGGAACAGAAGCGAACGGAGTTGGCAGAAGACTGCTCGCGTGCGCAACAAGCTGCTGGGCAAACTTTGAATCCCCGCAGCGGCAGCTGGCGCGTTGATCGTGCTTCCGGGTCCACTACGCTGCACGCCGCGCGCCCGCTCCCCCTTCCTCCTGCTGCACCCCGCTGCCCCTCCAACTTTGAACCCTCTGCGTTCACACAAAACACCCCCCCATCTTGCAGATTGAGGCGACCATCGCCCACCTGCGCCATGGCGCGGGCTACCCCGAGGACACGCTCCACACGGTGGCGGTCAAGGCTAACCCCGTGGGCGGGGTGCTGCGCATCTTCTTGGAAGCAGGCATGGGCGCGGAGGTGCGGTGTGTGTTGGCGAGCGGGGTGTGCGTACGAGTATGCTTGCCCACCTATGAGTGTCTCCTGTACGCGTGCGCGATTAGAGCGTGCCTGCATCGACGAGCAGCACCGGGGAGCTGCCCGGTGTGGGTGGACCGGCGTGGCCGAGCATCTGCCGGAGGCCACCAAACAGAACAGCCCAGCCCAGCGCCTCAGCAGGTGCTGCGCGGCTCGAGCTCCTCGGCAATGACCAAGGGCGGTGGGCGTGAGCGCGTGCCGTATGCTTGTGTGCCCTCCCCTACAAAGGTTATGGCACGCAAGGTCGCACACGACCCCCCAACCCCCCACCCTCTGCACCCCTTCCGCCCCACTCTCCAGGTGGCCTCTCTGGGGGAGCTGGCCCAGGCCCTGCACGTGGGCTTCCCCCCCGACCGTATCGTGTTTGACTCCCCGGCCAAGACGGCCGCTGAGCTGGAGTTTGCCCTGGCGCGGGGCGTCCCCACCAACCTGGACAACTTCCAGGTGGGCGGCCGGGAAACGGATGCCAGCTCGGCCTCGCCTGGCGCGGCCTGACCTGGCCTAGGGCCGGCGGTGAGTATTTGCTCCCCCGGCACGCGCTGTGTCCGGCTTGCTTGAGTTCCCCGTGTGGGTGTGTGGCGCACGGAGCAGCGTTACTTGGCACCCGCCTGTACATGTCACACAAGCAGCCAGAGCGTTCATGCAGTCGTGGAAATACGACGTGCCGTCTGCCTCTGCCATACCCACACACAGACCCACCCACCCCCCCACACACACACCCAGACAGACACACACACACACACACCCCACACACATACACACACACACACACGACCTAGCCTAGTTGGCCCCCTTGCACCCCACCCTGTGCGACCCCCAGGAGCTGGCCAGGGCTGCGGCGCTGGTGGCCGCGCACCCAGAGTGGCTGGAGCGCCCTGGCGGACTGGCTGTGGGCCTGCGCATCAACCCGCAGGTGAGGAGAGCAGAACTTCAAACTCTGGGACCCCGGCCCCGCACGCCTGTGCTAGGGCGCGCAGCTTGTTGCAGGGGGCACACCCAGCAGGACGCTCGTTCTTTTGGGGGAAATTTAGGGCTTGATATCATGATAGGGGCTGCGCCGAGGCCGGCGGCTTGTGGTAAGACGACCCAGCTGCTAGTGGGCCGCTGACCCAGCCCCTGCCCGTGTACTGCCCCCCGCCGTGTGGAACGTGCTACTGCCCATCTGTTGCACACAAACACAGACACACGCACGCACGCACTCACACACGCGTGCACGCACACACACACACATACACACACACACAAACACACACACACACCGGACAAGCCAGGTGGGCTCCGGCTCTATCGCTGCGCTGTCAACAGGAGGCGCTGTCTCCAAGTTTGGCTTGCCCCTGTCAGAGTGTCGCGAGGAGCTGGTTGCCGCGTTTGTGGCGCACCCCTGGCTCAACATGCTGCACCTGCACGTTGGGTCACAGGTGGGGCGGCCCTGAGCTTGGGGCGCGTAGGCTGATGTTGATGCCTCCTTACGCTGCTGCCCTGGGCTCGGATCCACAAGAACCAGGGCCCAGCGCGCCCCATGGTGATAGGCCGATGGCTGCGGCTTGAGACGTGTGTTGGCGAGCAGCATCGCCCTCGTGTCCATGTGTGTGTGTGTGTGTGTGTGTGTGTGTATAGTGTGTTGATGCGCGAGACCCTCACATGCGCTGGGCACACGGCGTCGTCGCAGGGCCTGCCGACGTCCTTGATCGTGGAGGGCGCGGCGAAGGTGTGGGGCCTACTGGAGGACATCGACGCTGCCTGCGGCGGCAGGAGGGTCAGGGTGCTGGACATCGGCGGCGGCCTCAGGTTGCTGCCTGCATGATGCCTCGAGTCGCATGTGTGTGCTGGTGGACCCGCTTGTCTTCAAGGGGAGGAGAAGGAGTAGATTGGGGTTCGAGCGGGCAGCAGTAGCTCATGGCTTGTGCAGCAAGGGTAAGGGCGGCCGCAGTGACACATCTGACACCACACCCCAGCCCGCTATTACAACCGACAACAAGACAAGCTGGCAACCTGACAAGCTGGCATGCCGTCCTGCGCTTCTGGCCCCGCCCGCCCTCTTGCTAATCCAACCCCCCAGCCCCGACCCCACTCCCACCACCCAGCGTGGACTTCCAGACAGACGATTTCGGGCCCTACCCAGTGCCTCCAGCCGACACGGATGGCGCCGCAGAGGGTACAGCCGCGGTCAGCGCGGCACCGCCCTCCGTGTGGACCCGGTTTGACGAGCAGGTGGTGCTGCTGAGGCGACGCGTGCCGGCGCTCTTCGACCCCGACCGGGGTGTGCGGCTCATGACAGAGGTGGGAGCCTCGGGAGGGGCGTCAGCACCAGCTGTGAACTGGGTCATCAATGCAGGGACTGACAACCCCCGACCTACATGAGCACCACCATCGCGCACAAGTTGCCGCCACCGTCCCCAGCCCCCCCCCTCAAAAAGGCTGCGCTTAGAGCTCTTCATCTGGCGGGAAAGGCCCACACTGCACCAAACTCCTCTCCAACACCCCACTCCACCGCACCCCACCCCACCCGACCCCACCCCACCCAGAACGGCCGCTCCCTGCTGGCCAAGGCCGGCTGTGTCGTGAGCCGCGTGGAGTACACCAAGGCCTCAGGGGGCAGGCGTGAGCGGCACCGGATAGGGGGCCGCCCTTGGGCCCCTGGGGATCGTTTGCGGATGCGGCTTGTGCAGCTGGCATCGCTGCTGGGGCCGCAGCCACAACCCCAGCATTGCAGCACTGTTGATGAGCTATCGACCGGGTCTGCGTCTGATTTGCTCGTCACCAGGCAAACCTCTGCTACTCCCAGCACCGCACCCCACAGTGTCCAGCTTACATCCCGCGCATTTCTTGACGCCGCGCCACCAGGCATCGCCGTGTGCCACGCTGGCGCCGACCTGCTGATGCGCGCCTGCTACATGCCAGAGACGTGGGGCATGCGCGTGCGCGTGTGCGACAGCAGGGGGGCGCCCAAGGAGCCGCGCTCGAGCGCGGGAGCGGGCAGCGGCGAAGATGGCGGCGGCGGTGACGTCAGCGGCGGTGATGTAAGCGTTGGTGGACTCACCGGTGACGGAGTGGAGCTTGAGATCCAGGACATCGCGGGGCCACTATGCTTCCAGGGTGGGCGCTGGGGTGCTGGGGCGGCAGCGCTCAGGGAGCTTGGGCCCAGGGCTGCGTGGAGACGTGCACGTAGCGTCGCATGTGTGGTGTGTGGGGGGGCAGGGACGGGCAATGGCCTGCACGCGAGCGTTATTTGATGAGGGGGGCGCATGTGGAAACTGCACCCAGCAAGCCGCAAAAATACTGCAAAACCTCCCATGCCCCCCTCCTTTGCCGCCTGGAATTTTCGACCCTAGGCGACCGCCTCGCAACAGCGGCGCTGCTGCCGCGCTGCGAGGTGGGGGACTGGGTCATGGTGCTGGATGCGGGTGCCTACACACTCAGCATGGCGTCACGCTACAACAGCCGCAGCTCCCCTGCAGTGTACGGCTTCAGCGGGGGCCCCAGCAGCGGTGCCGCCAGCTCAGGCGATGCGGGGGTGTGGGCCGTGAAGTTGCGGAAGCTGAGGGGGCGGGAGACGCTGCAGCAGGTGCTCGATTACTGGAACATTGAGTAATGCTGACACGCGCTCAGCCATCGTGGTCTCACTGGCTTGTTGTTTTGCAAGCAAAAGTACGCGTGCTTTCTCTTTTCGTGCGTCCTACAGTGTATATATCAATTCGTTACTCAACCATACGCACGTGGTGTTGAGGCTGCTGATGAGGACAGCCGAAGCCGCACTGCCGGTGCGGTCTTGCTGGCATCTCCTCCCCTCCTGCAACCGCAAAATCGTCCTTCACAGCATTCGTTCGGGGCGCGAGCAGGGCATGTGCCCCCAGTTGCGCCTGCCAACCGCTTGCCCCCAGCCTCATAGAGTTTGCAGACTGCTGGTCACATCAGAATGCTATTCTTTGCTGTCATCACTGTGCTCTGATGGTGCAGTAACATCCATAGGCGAGGATTGGGGCCATGATGGCGGGGGTCCGTCCCAGCTGGGAGGAAAACCAAGGTCGCCTGGCGCCTCACTGACCTGGGCTACCCCTACTCATCGCATTCGCTTTAATAGGTGATTACAATCACATGGCAACACCATAACTGTTGTGTGGCAGCTGAACACAGCCAGGCTGCTCCTGCCACCTTGTATATCGACAAAAGGGGGAATGTTTCAGGCACTCCGCCCAACACAAGTGATATGATACACACCACCAGGCAGGCGGCATCAAAGGGGGCGCTCACAAAAGTGGCAGCCATCGCTGCCACCTCAGGACCACCTGAGAAGCCATAAACGGGTGGTTCGAGGCCGCTGTTGCGCGTGCACAGCTGACCAACACACATGTGGAGACAATGGGGCCCCTTCCACCCTCGGTTACCCCAGCAATGAGTAACCGCTGTCCTCTGCGCCTCTAGACAGCCACAGCAGCAGGCCGCTGGCTGACAGCACCGTGGCAGATATAGTGGCGCTCTGCAGGGGAGGAGGGGCGAGATGGGGCAGGGTGGTTGGGTAGGCGTATAGCAAGGGGGCACATCCGAAGAGAGTCCACGCGTCACCGGAGGCGGCGGGAGAGACGCCAGTGTCAGGCGCCGCGCGTGCAGAGATTGCAGTGGCAAGCCTTGCCCGAGCCAGTGAGTTGTCGCCCCGCCCCATTGCATGACATCCCCGGTTGCGCCCAAGCAGAAGCGTCCGACATGTGCCCGAATGTTGATCCGCCCCAAGCCCACGCCACCCCCACGCTCACCGCCGCCGCCCACAGGTCCTCGCCCTTTTGCTTGTCCAGCAGCAGCAGCGTGGTCCCAAGGAAGATGCTGCCGAAAGCTATCACGTAGGCCAGGAACAGCGTGCACTTGGCGCGACAGGCGTCCCCCTCGTCAATGTACAGGGAGGAGCCGTCGTCCTGGCCGGCGACCGCGCCCAGCAGGATCACCCCCAGCATTGCCAGGACAAGGGGGGTGCAGTAGTACCAGGCAAAGGGTGCTGACCTGGACGCTGACTGGACCAGGGCGTCGAGGAAGACCCACCTGTGGGGCGGTTGGGTGGGTGGGTTGATGTTGGGGTGGGGGGTGACGAGGTGGTCCATCCTTGGGGGCCGTGGTGTGTGTGAGGCAGTGAGCGTGCGAGACTCTGTGTTGAGGGGAAGGGGTGCAGAGGGTGGATGGGAGGACCACGGCTGCGGCTTCCAGGGTCTGCTGACATGGGGTTGGGGAAGAGGCGTCGGCAGGCGGCCGCAGCAGAGCTCAGGGCATGCGGGGTTTCGCAGCCACACCGCTGCACAGGCGGCAGTGCAGGACCCCTCCTGAGGCTCAAAACGAGCCCCAACACCAAACAAGGGCATGGAGCAGTTAGCAGCCCTGCATGACTGCTCGGGACAGATGGCTTTCACAGACGAGGCAAGTGCCCCTGTTTTGAATCATTAAATTATCACAACAACAAGCGCTCAAAGAGGCAAGGCACTGTGACGGATGACCCGATGTGACTCGCTGCAGCTCTCATGCCGTCCTCAAGCACTGCAGTTGTCAGGCGGGTCGGCATGGCTGGAGTCGCGCTCTCACCATCCTGCACCGCACAGAGCGCCTGCAGCCACGACGCCATAGGGCTTCACCGGCTCCCAGATGTGATCCATGGGCGCCGCTGCGAGGCTCTGCTGCTCACGCTAGCGGGGGCCAGGGGCGTGTGGCGCCGCAATATGGGGCGCGCACAGGAGCCGAACCCCACGCGCTGCTGCTAGACGTACGCTGTGTGACTATCTTGTCCCTCACAAACTCAGGCGAGTGTGGGCGTGTTGGCTGTTGTCCTTTCGATCAAAATGCAAAAATGATCTTGGCTTGCTATCAGGCCGCGCACGTTCAGGCTTACGATTGTACAAACATGCTGCATGCACTGAAATCCTGAAACCCACAAGATAGCCTTTCCCAGTCTCACTTGTCATCGGCACCTGCTGCATGCTGTGCGTGTGCATCGACTGGAACAGCCTGTAGGCATCTAGACAATACCTTGAAAGCCACTTCAGGTTTTATTACAGCAATCCCGCTCGGGCCACCACCCTCGCTCGCGCCAGCCTTCCCGCCCCACCGCCGCCGCCTCCGCTGCCGCCGACCATCATTGCTGGGCCAGGGCGAGCGACCTACAGCACCCCACCCAGCATGCAGGCATACAACTTATAACAGCTTGGTGCATCAGGGACGCGGGCCTGCATCGGTCAAAAGGCAGGACAGGTGCTGTGGGCAGGCGGCGGCGCAGTATCGAGCGTCGTATGTGTGTGGGATCCAGCTCAAGACGCCGTTCCACATTGACTGACTGACCAGTGCTGACCTATATCATGGGCCTGCTGTCAGCTGAGATCGGCGCCAAGCCGGTGCACCTGACGCTGACACGGTGAGCGCAGACCGCCAGAACACATACCTGTGCCCGGGGTGTGCACCTGCCTGTTGCAAATGCGGCCCGCGTTGCCTTGCCTTGAAGCTTGGAGCGGGCCACCCACACGATACCCCGCTACCATCAAAACCCCGCTGTTGCCGCCGCTTGTGCCACCCCCAGGGACCGCGTGCGCGCGCTCAAGGCTGGGTCGCCCTGGCTCTACGCAGACTCCTTGCGCGAGCTGCCCCCCGCGAGGCCGGGGTCCATGGCTCTCATCAAGACCAAGGACGGTGACATCATCGCCAAGGGCTTCTACGACCCTGGTGTGTTGGTTTCAGAGGGTTGCGAAGTTCCATGCTGTGGCGCGTTCGCTGCATCATATTTAGATATGCAGCTGTGCTTGCTGCAGCCAGCCTGCTCGGCCCTTTTGCCCTGCTGGGGACTCTTTCAAGCGGCGGCTCGCTTTCCCCCTCTTGCCAACACCCCGCCTTCCCTCTTTCCTTCCCCCAACTCACCGTAACCCCTTCCTCCCCCCAGGGTCCCAGCTGGCGTTCAGGGCGGTGGCTGTCAGGGAGCGGCGCCTGGACGACGCGCTGGTGGCGGCGCGGCTGGAGCGCGCGGTGGCGATGAGGCAGCGGCTGTTCGAGGGCGCAGACACCGACGGTGGGCGCGTGCACGCTGGCCTGTGGGCCCCGCCGCGATCAGGCTCTCACAGGCTTGGCATGCTTTGAGGCACAAAGCAGGGTGTGGTGTATTCACGTATTTGTCCTGGAGGCCAAGCTGGCGCCCACGCGTGCGGTTGGCTTGCACAGCAGGCGCATTCCATGCCGTGTAGGTCCGTTTGTGCGGCTTTATGGTGCCCGCTGCCTTGAGTGTTCCCCTCGCGTGCGCCGTTGACTCCTGCTGCAGGGTACCGCCTGGTCAACGGGGAGGGGGACGGGCTGCCAGGCCTGGTGGGTGCCGCGGCGCTCTTTGCTGTGTTGGCAGTGCAAGCGGGAACACTGCCTTGCCGGTCACGGGAAGCACTTGGCGTTGGGAAGCCATGAGCCCCCTGCCTGTCCCATCACAACCCCAAAGGCCGTGAAGAAGTGAAAGGAATCATCCCCAAAGACCCTTGTTCAAGGCATACCAGCAACATATACACAACACACACCCCTTCACATGCATATCTATGAACCCCTAGGTGTGTGACGTGTACGCGTCTACCGCTGTGGTCAAGCTGGACGGCGCGGGCCCGGCCGGGTTCTACAACGCCAAGGGCATCGCGCAGTGGCTGGTGCAGCGGCTGCCCCGGCTCAACTGTGTCTGGCTTAAACACAGGTGCGCCACGCATGGTCGGGCGCGCAAACGTCGAAAGCAACGGTGCAAAGCAACCGGATGGTTCGGGTGACAGGGCAGGCGCATCGGCGGCATGCGGAGCACCGCAGGCGGCGCTGCCCGCCTGAATCCAGGCCTGGAGGGGCAGCTTGAGACTCTCGGCCATTGGGTGGTGCCACCTGTTTTTCCAAGGCGCCTTGCGTGCGGGCTCAATCCCGGCCTGCCTCCTGTGATCACACGACCCCGCTCGCGCGCTCCCTCGCCCCTGCACCCATGTTCCACGCCCCAAGGGCCGGCGAGGACAGCCGCGGCGCTCTGCTGCTGGGGGAGCGCCCAGCGCGGCCGGTGGTGTTTGTTGAGAACGGGGTGCGCTTCGAGTCCGACGTCGTGATGGGCCAGAAGACGGGCTTCTTCCTGGACCAACGGGACAACCGCAAGCGGATGCAGGTGGGCGGATGCAGGAGAGGGGGGCTGCCGGGGCATCTGCCAATCTGGCCGTGGAAGACCACCATCAGCAATGGAGTCATGCGGATGATCCAACTGGCAGCCCTTCAAGCCTCTTCTCGCATCTGCCCATCACCGTGGTCCCGGCCGTGATATGCACCACCATTGTCTGATGAGTGATGACTCTAAAGTCCTTTGAGCGGCCTGCGCCTGGCAGATGCCATACGGCACTGATGACGACAGGATCACCCCCTCAACCCCCACCTCCCACGTGGCCTGCGCCCAACGCTCCCACCCACTCAAACCCCCAACCACCCCCCATCCACCCCCAGCCCTTTGCCCGCGGCCGCCGCGTCCTCAACCTCTTCGCCTACACCGGGGGCTTCTCAGCCTACGCTGGCGCTGCGGGCGCAGCCCACGTCACCTCGGTCGACCTGGCGGCGCCCGCCTGCGCGTCCGCGGAGGTCAACTGGGGCCTCAACGGGCTGGACGCGGGGCGCCACGCGGCGGTGGCGGCGGACTGCTTTGCGTTCCTGGAGGACGCGGCGGCGGCAAAAGAGGCGTGGGACGTGGTGGGTGCAGCGAGGTTTGGGGGCAGGGAGTGGCCGATGGAGGGCTCCACCAGCGCGCTTTACTGGGGAAGGCAGCCGCACCCTGGACGACAGCCCTTGTGATAGGCAACAATACTGCGTTCCAAGCTCCACCGTGTGTCGCCGCCTCGCCTGCTCCCTCGTCTATCTTGCAGCCGCCTTCTCACCAGTCCACCTCGTCAGGTACCTACCTGCACACTGCACACTGCACACTGCACACCCCGCTGCACCTCCGCCCAGCCCTACCCCCCCCTCCCCCTCAAAAAACATTTCTCACGAACGCCCCAGGTGATCGTGGACCCGCCATCATTTGCCCCCAGCAAGCAGAGCGTCACCAAAGCCACAGCCAGCTACGAGCGGCTGTTTGCGGCGGCAGTGAAGATCACGGCGAGGTGGGTGGGGTGGGCGGGGTGCGCCAAGCGCCACACCAGCAGCAAGGGGTGCTTTGTTGATCGACAGCCATTGGGCGCCATCGTGCAAGATGAACTTTGGGCTGCTCTGCTGTTTGCTGGGTCGCGCGCATACTGGCAGCGCTGCAGCAGTTTCCTCTGCTAAGATTATCAAGGATAAGTGGACCCCTGAAAGGCACCAGGGCGGCAAGTGGGGCTATCGATGTCTCAACCATTCGCAACCAGCCCTGTGCGGTGCATCTCCTCGTCTTAGCTGCCGCCCTCCTACTTCTGTCCATGAATCCGCTCCCTTTACATCCTCCCCTACCAACCTGCCAGTGGCGGCATCCTGGCGCTGTCGTCCTGCTCGAGCCACATCGACTTCCCCCTGTTCCACCAGGCGCGCCCGGGCACTGTGCTCAGGATGCGTTGCGCGCTGTGCTCCTGATGAAAGAGCGTGTCGGCCTCTGGCGCCCCTTATGCCCCGCCGTGCTCTGTGTGTAGGGTGCCAAGTGCAACGAAAGCAGTGCAGCTCCCTCAAGCCGGGCTGCACGGCCTCAGGCAGCCGCGATGATCTGCCGGCTGAACCGCACCACCCAAACCTCGCCGTACGCCCAACACCTGCGGACTGCATGGCGCGCGCCCCCGCAGATCTGCGACTCGGCCGTGGGCCGCGCGCGGCGCTCCGCCGCGGTGCTGGGCGTGTATGGTCAGCCGGAGGACCACCCCTTCCCCGCTGCCTGCCAGGAGCTGCGGTACCTCAAGTTCGTCACCCACGCCCTGGACTGAACACGGGGCTTCAGGGTTCAGGGCTCAGGGCCTCTCTGGAATGACGTGCGTGTGTCAATTGGGCTTGTCGACTCGTGCGCTCACGTCATGCACACAGGCTGTCTCCGCTTGCCTTCTGTGCCGGCTGCGCGCGGCTGTCTGGGGTGTCCCGGAGCCGATCATGGCTGCGAGTCATGTTGCAATGGCATCTTGCAGCAGCACCTGCAGCACGCTCTTGCCAGCTTGATGAGCGAGGCTGGCGTTTTTTGGTTGGCCTGGGTGTGAAAGTGACCGCCTCCTGGCGCATCAGACTTGTTTCACAACCATTGCTGCCATTCGGTGGCCACAACCCGTGGGCAGCAGGCAAGAAGGGCTTCCATACCAGCAGGCTGCCCGCTATCACACCGGTGTCGCTATTGCAGCCACTGTTGCGCTGGCGACCACAACATCCAAATGAATTTCAACTATTATGTTTCGTCGCCAGTTCTGCTGCAGCAGATCCCCATTGCGGCAAAAGCGTTGTCAAAGCCACCCGAGGCGCACAAAGCATTTCTGCTGAACCAACGCCGGGTACTTTGCCCACCCACCACGCACTACGTATGGTAACATGTCTGCCACTGTGGCACGCTTTGCTTCTTGACATTTGTTGCCAGCAGTTCAGCAGTCACCTTAATCCACTGTTGTGCCTGCTGGCAGAACGAGCCAACTGGCCATTTGATCCCCCTCAGCCTTGTGCAGGTTGCGAAGCAATGCAGCACATAAAAGTGACTGTCCTGCGCTTCCAGCTGTGGCGGTGAGTCAACCCATGCATCGCACACACTTCCAAGAGATGTGGTAGCGTCCCCAGCAGAGTTGAGCAGCGACCACTGTAACACATTAGACGACACTGCGTGCTTTGGAAGAGTCTCTGACACGGTATCTGTCCAGGGCCTTGATCGTCCAGTGTACTTCGCTTCGCTTCGTCCAGCTAGACTCCGAGTGTAGGCAGGAGGAGTCCTCCTGCCACTGCGATCAACCAGCCTGAAACCAGTAAGGCATCGCTAAAAAATAGCGCGCTAGCTGGTGACGGCGGCGCCACACACCAACAAGCAACTGTATGCGCGTGGAAAAACACACACAGCATCGGAGACGACGAGATAAAACAATGAAAGCAAACAGCACATATGTCTAGCCTGGGTCCCAGGGCTGGGGTTGGGTGGTGCGCTTTTGCTTTGCTTTGCTGTACTTTGCCCTTCTTTGCTTGGCTGCGCTTTTTTTGCTTCGATCTGCTTCGCTTAGCTTTGCTTTTTTGCAATCGTCTAGGCCAGCTACAGTCCTCCCGCCCCTACGACCAGCGGGGGTGGTGCGCGCCTTTGCTTTGCTTTGCCTATTGTCTAGGCCAGCTAGACTCCTCTTGTCGGTCACTGTGACCAATCGGTTTTACAAAAATGCGCTTTGCTTTGCTTTGCTTTGCATTGTTACATTCTTCTAGGCCGGCTAGACTCCTCCCGCCACTGAGACCAACCAGTGTGACCAACAACACGGGCTAACTTCAGACTAGCCCCCCAGTGTGGAAGGCACCCAACATACTGTGAATCAAACCGAAATCACGCTGCAGAAATACAAACAGAGCGGTTTTGAGAGAGTGCGCGTCTGATTTGTTTGATTTGATTTGTTAC